ATTACTATTTTATTTCAATTATTAAACTGTTTTTATCTCAACCCACGAGTTTTTCTCACTTGTACTCTTCCGATTCTCTCCCCCATCCCACCGTGGTGGGGGGAGAGTGGGCGAGCGGCTGCGTGGTGCTCAGTTGCCAGCTGAGGTTAAACCATGACAACATTGATTTTCAGACCTGCAGACCCTGAGGCTGATTTGGGATGAAAATCCCTGAACACGCAAACACGCTGTGTGTTAAAACTCAGTGGTAGCTCCTGTTTTCCTGTTAGTAGCTGCACAGCAGTGAAGGAAACTCAACAGGAATTGTTACTGACTTTTTATAATGGCAATATACCTTGTGGAGCCAACACCTGGGGTTCCATGGTGCTGGCTGCTGTGCACATCATAACTTGAACACTCGTCTACTGTAAGATAATTGCACTGCAGCATATGGTAAGAGCCAACATGCCCACACAGACAGCCTGCAGAGGAAAGAAGGCGGCGAGAGAAACAGGGTAGGCCTAACAAGCTGTGGTCACAGCACACCGGCTGTGCAGTCAACCGTTAACTCTACTTATTGAAGCTTCAATAAGATTTATCTCATGACCAGACTAGGAAATTTTGCTGGGAAAATTGGGAGTAGGAGAGAGAGCAGGGAAGAGAGAGGGGCAAGAGGAAAAGAGGAGGGGAGGAGGCAAAGGGAGGGAGGGGAGAAAAGATGTTTTTCAGAACATTTGGCCTCGTACTGTATTCTTCCATACTCCAAAAGGAAGGAGCTTACTTACACTACATAAAAGGGTGACGGCACACGCAACTTAAAGGGAGAATGACTGCATCACCCTCCATCAACAGTCCTGTTTGCTGTCCATGTGACACTGACTGTCATACTTGAATTCCCTCACAACAGAAATTCAGAGATTAGTCCCTCCTCCATGTCCTTCTTTACTTGGGAAGACTTCCTTTCAGGGACTGGTAATGGAACTGTCCTATGTAACATTTAGATTGCGAACAAGCATTTATACATGTCAAAGCATGCTAGGATCCTTCATTCTTGCAGCAGCAGGATTAAATATAACTGAATTTTGAAATAGGGGGGAGGAGGTAGCACTTTCTACCAATTGGGTGACGGCAGGCCCAATATCCTGGTAAATAACTTACGCAATGATTTACACCAGCTATTCCTTCAGTCAGACCAGATCCCAAGCATACAATGAACTTTCAGGATTGTACACAGCCTAGAAAACAATAGGATATTTGTGCAACAGACAATTGTTTCATTTTAAATTGAAACAGAAACTGGTTTTAAATTGTTCAGGCTGTGATGGCTACTAATGATATTTCATAACACAATGAAACATTATAATCATGCACTTCTTCACACAAGTTGTCTGTAACTTCAGCTGGTCTGTGCTACTCTAATGCTAAAACATTCAATATTGATAAACTAAGAAGGTTGTTTTACCTAAGGTGAACACTGAATCAGTGCCATTTTGTTGGCTTGCCAGCAGTCCTCAGGAAAAAAAAAAAAAGGAAAATGGAGGAATAAAAATATTTACTGTAAATGAATTTCAGAAGAGCTTCTGCACAGCAGAGGAAATTGATAACTAATGCAGTCGAGTAATTTTCCAGCCTCTCATTTCTAGAGATTTTATTTTCCTCTCAATTACTGAATTTTACACCACGTATACACATGCACATTTATATATTCAGATCTATGTGGACAGCAAACGCACAGAAAAGTATAAAGATTTTACCATCATGTCATGCTTTCTCCTAGAGGATGTAGCTAACTTCACCAGTCTACAAATTGCAGTTTTGTAGCTTTCTACACCTTCCCATGTCACATAAAACAAAAAATGGACTCCCCCCTAGTTTCGTTTTATGGTACTAGAAGGATACTGCCTACTTTTTAAGGCTGATGCCATCACCTCTGTGATATCAATGAAGGATAGTTTAAAGCAACTACAATAAAATGCAAGATAAATAACTCTTTTCCTACCACACAGAAGATATACAGGAAATAATGAACACCAGTTTAAGTCGGAAAATTAACTTACTTGGAAACTGAGACTATGATGTATCTTCAGAACAGTCTGTGTGACCTGAAAACTGCTTCAGCAGAAGAGACCTGGCTTCCAATCTTTTGTAAAAAGGTTCAGAAAATGAAAATACATAAAAGTATTTTATCCAGTAGCTCAGAAGATGATGAATAATGGCTTGAAATATTTGACCGTATTCCCCAAGGACAACAATTGCAAGGATTTTAAAACACTACCGTTATCAGAATTTGGCAGAGAGACTAAGGAGGCAGTGGGCTACAATTAAAAATGGCAAGATGGCTGGTGCATCCACACTGCAAGAAGCAGCATAACAGCAGCAGATCAAAATTACTGAAAAAGAAATCCAGCCCAGAAGTGCTTCTGTCAGAACAGCAAGTCCTCCAACTGATTTTGTGCAGTTTTCATGGGACAGCTTTATTCACTGAAATGGAAAATCAAGTTGTTCTGACATTATCTGTATTCTAGGAAAGATAGTAATTTATATTGATAACATAAATCCAAATGTTCTAATTCCTCCAAGAGTCTCTGTGGTGGTGTAAACACACTCTTTTCAGATCAGCAAGCTGTGTCTGATATTCTTCAATGTAACAGCCCTACAGAGACATTATGTTCAAGTCAAACTTGCCCTTCCTGAAAATATCTCTACCTCCAAGAG